ATGTTGCGGAAATATCTGCAACAGAAGATTTCTTGCATAATTTTTTCTATCTTAACTATGTTGCGGAAGGACTTCTGCAACATAGACGATGTTGCAGAAAAATTACAAGGTGGTAAAGGCATGCGGCCAATGGTCGGATCGAACTCGGATCCAACGGCTGTGTGGGCGGCGAAACTTTACATGTGACCTGTCGACTGATTCTAATCATTTCCCATTTATTATAGGATAATAGCGTGCAAACTTCAAGTCTCCTAGACGTATTACACCACAGGTTATCTGCCTTACTACATAGTTGTCCATTTCTGCAATACATTTCGAGCCATACACACCGTTAGATCTGGATTAACTGAAACTAAAATTAATTATCCAGAAACATTTGGATACAAATAACCATGACTCGTTACATTGGAGGTGCTCAAAGAAAAGAAATAAATGGAGGCAGCGAGCTAGAATTTGGAATACACCATGTTGTCGAACTTGACATACAACAAACGCTTGAACTCCCCAAGAATTGCTGCCTCTATACACATCACCAGGTGCACACTACCATCCCCCTGCATGCTCTCCATCAGATGAACGAAGCCTCCACGGTTTGATACTGCATGCAACATAGCCATTGGCTTACCCCAACTGAAATCCAGATCATAGAATGGCATACCAAGCCAGCTAACCATTCGCATGTCCATCGCCGGCAGATCGCCTAAGGCTGGTTATAGTGGGGAGTAACTTATACTAGTGTCATGCATATGACACTAGTCTAAATTACTACATTTATAGTGCAAAATAACATACTAGTAGTGTCATAGAGGACTTCATTAATTAGCTTGTAGACTCATCTTGTCTTGGAAAGCGTTATGTTATAGTAACATATTATGTTACCACTTCTCATTAACTACATGCCACATAAGCAAAAAATTCTCGGAGTGCACTATGTTACTTGCTAAGTTACTCCCTCTATGACTAGCCAAAAGCAGGGCGGTTGTCCCTCTCTGCCAATGCTAGCTCGAGATAGTCGACCGCCGAATGCACTACCTCATTGTCCACCCGGCTTAGGGTGTCTCTGATTCGGCACGCAATGTATGCTAGGTCGCCCGAGGAGATGGTCCGTGCTTCGTCGCTGACACTTAGATTTATTACTGCATTGCCAAAGTAGCCGCCCGGGAGAGGTGGCGTCATTCTACGTCGGATATTCGCCATGAATGCAAGGCGCACTGTGGAGTCTGGTGGTAGCTGTCGGGCTAGAGACATGCACTGCCACACCTGGGCGCTCACGGTGCTGAAGGTGCTCACGCCTTTGCCACCACATATGTGATTAAGGGTGGAAAGTTGGTCCTTGCGGAGGATGAGAACCTCATTGACGACGACAGGACCTGGCGCCTGGGATAGGATTATCTTGGGGCAAAATATGGTAAAGGTGTCCAGACGAACAACAGGTGGGTTGCGTGCACACAGGAGGGTGCGGTCAAGGTAGGGGATTCTCACTACAGCTCGGTCGCCTTCTCTGGAGAATGCTGCCCATGTATGCAAGAAGTGTAATGCGGCAGTGCCGTCCACAACTCCATGGTGTGTTACCATCCCTAAGACCACTCCACCACACTTCATGAATGTCACCTACATAGATGGATTTGTGATACATGCTATATAAAATTATGAACGATATTTTTTTTGAAAAGGAGGATTACCTCCGGCCTCTGCACCGATCGATGCATGATATGTTTCTATTTCTACTCATTTTTTCCTGGAGCAACCAGTAACTAGGAAAACTGACCAAAAACGAAATATAGTGTATGACTGTATTATGCTTGACTTGATTAGAAAGTAGTAATATAGAAAGAATCAGACCTGGGTGCAGGGCCGGCTCTGGCGTATGGCCAGAGGGGCGACGACCCAAGGCCCAGGCCGGAGGGGGCCCATGATGCAGTGTACATATATAGTATAGCCCATCAAAAAATTAAGTAACGAAAAAAATATGAGAGAAAATAAAGGAGATGGGCTAGGCCCTACAGATAGCTAGCTAACGAAGCATCGCGCTAGACGCAAGGCACGGTTGCACGCCGCACGCGTACGTGTGTGAATCAAATCAATCACACTAGTAGAAAAAGGGCCTTTAGTCCCGGTTCATAAGGGCCTTTAGTCCCGGTTTTTTAACCGGGACTAAAGGGTCGTTACTAAAGGCCCTCCACGTGGCCGCTGCCTGGAGGTCCACCTTTAGTCCCGGTTGGTAACACCAACCGGTACTAAAGGAAATTTTCTGATTTTTTTGAATTTTTTTATTTTTAAATTTCTGAATTATTTTAACCTCTAATCTCTAATCACCCCTCATCACTGCTCAATTTAATCTCTAATCACCCCTTATCATTCCAAATCATCTAACTTCCCGGACGGTCACCCATCCTCCCACTCCCCCAGCCTGAGCACGCTTAACTTCTAGGTTCTATTCTCCCTCGTTTTCAAGTCTGCACTCGTTGTTTTCGTGACAATAGTAAGATGTTAATCCTATTAACCCTCAGGAGTTTAGCTTGAGCATGAAGTCACACATTTCACTGTTTGAGTTTGAAACTATTGTTCTAAAACACAATAATTATTTAGTAACACTAATATTTCTTGAATAAGTAGTTTGACCATTGTTTGACCATAGTTTGACCATAGTTTGACCAGATTTGACCAAAATTCAAAAAACTGAAATAATTATTTAATAACACTAATATTCTTGAATAATTATTTAGTAACACTAATACTTCTTGAATAAGTAGTTTGACCATAGTTTGACCAGATTTAATGAAAATTTTAAAACACTGAAATTTGAGCATAACTTTTTTTCCTTTTGGAATTTGAGGATTCTACAAATTTGCAAAAAGGCCGTAGGCAGTCTCCATTGGATGCAACTTTTCAAGTAGATGATTTTTCATATAAAAAACTTTTTAATCCGAGTTCGTATGCAAAAGTTATGCCCATTTTTACAAATTCCAGAGAGATTTTGTAAATAAAGTCGAAATTCATATTTGTAAATTTTCCCAACAACTAGACCACATATCACATGGGAAACTTATTTTATTTTATTTTTTTGACATTTCCATTATTTTTCTTTTGTTTTTTCTAAAACTGAAAAGGCGGTCCACGCGGGTGGAGGGGGGGGGGTTTGAAAATGGGACCTTTAGTACCGGTTCGTGACATGAACCGGTACTAATGGCAACCGGGACTAATGGGCGTCACACCCTTTAGTCCCGGTTCGTGGCACGAACCGGGACTAAAGGGCCCAGGTGAACCGGGACTAATGCCTTAGCCGCACGAACCGGGATAAATGCACCCATTGGTCCCGGTTCTGGACTGAACCGGGACTAATGGGGTTACCCGCCTGGACCAAAGCCCCCTTTTCTACTAGTATCAGAATATCTCTTCAGTTTCAGTGTGCACAAAGTTTCAAATTTTTTATGTATACTTTTTTCAAATTCAATCTTTCACAATATGTATTCAACCATCTTAATTTTTTGTCATTATGTGTATGTGTCTAGAGTTCTGATTGTCCGATGTATAAAATTTTGAAGTTAGTCGAATTTGGTTCGCATTTAAGGTAATCATGTCAAGTTAGCTTCATTTTCCCGTCTTTTTAGTCTTTCTATTGTAATATGACATTTCAATAATTATTATAGTCAAATCTCAAACTAAAGATTTGTGGTTGAAAGTTTAGTTGTAATGTTATGCAAATGAAGTTATATATGTTTATGTATCAAATCTCAAACTAAAGATACATATGTTTGTGTATCATGCACACACATACATATATATGGTCTTAGAACTTAGGGGTCGAGTTCACCCTAGGGCCTTCTGAAACACAGGGCCGACCCTGCCTGGGTGGCCCACACGATATAGGCTGGGTCATCGACGTGGGGAACAAACAACCTCCTTAGCCTTGGTGATGGCTTGAAGTCGCTGAGGTCAACAATGGTAAGACGAGAGTGCGTGACGACGAAGAGCACATCCTTGCTGTTTGCAGTCGATCTCTAGCCTGCCATGGGCGTCAGCCCTGAGGCGGCCGGCCATAGGCTAGAAGGCAACGAGGGCCTTGCCTAACGCTGTCTTCAACTTGGTCACATCAAAGAAGGCGTCGTCGGTGGTATGCCGCCGGTAGAAGCGGACGACTGGAGTGAGACCTCTGTTGGCTAGCATGAGGTCGAGTGGTGAGAGCCGCAGCGCTTTCCTCGGTGTGTCGCCGGCCGGGACTAAAGGTGGACCTCTAGGTGCGTGCAAAAATTCATGGATAAACGACATTCGTGGAGCTCGCGCCAAAATGGACAAAATCAGCTATGAAAACTGCGCTTTTTCAAACTTTCTCACAGACCTGATTTTTTCCTTTTTGCCATGAGTTCCTCGAATGTCCAAACTCCACCAAATTTGGCACGGGCATCATGCATTCGATCATCTTGCACCATAAAAAAATCATAATTTTATAAAGTTTTCAGTTACACGGGCATCACGCATTCGATCATCTAGCACCATAAAAAAATCATAAATTTTATAAAGTTTTCAGTTATTTTAAATGATTTCTTGATCACACCTGGGAACATCTGGACCTGTATGCAGAGTGACCGCGTCGCATTACTTACATTGTTACAACTAAAAATTACTCCCTCGCCGAGCTCAGCAAGCTTCCTCCCATCCCAGTATATAGATGGATTCAAATCAATTAACTTTCGCTGCCATGGCTGAAGGTGACCGGGTAGAGTGAGCACCAACACAGACAGAGCACAGGGACTAAAAATAAATAACCCAAGAGTGCTTGAGCACGTAAACCATCCCATTTGCAGTAATTATCTTCATCCCAGTAAAAATAATCGTGCATTCCACGAGCAACTACTGTACTCTGAAGCTGAGACCAGAAGGATTGAATTCAATTGTATAAGCCTAGTGTAAGCTGCTTAAGATTATTTCTTGGTGTACAAACACCTAACAGGGTACAATTATCGAACATCCATGACTCGAACACACCTGGTACATGCAGGTTAAAACTTAGAATACAACATGTTGTCGAATTTGGCATACAACAAACGCTTCAACTCGCTGAGAATTGCAGCCTCTATAGACATGATGATGCGCACACTGCCATCACCCTGTGCGCTGTCAATCAGGTGCACAAAACCTCCGCGGTTTGGTTCAGCACGGAACATAGCCAATGGCCTCCCCCAGCTGAAATCCGCATCGTATGACGGCATGCCAAGCCAGCTGACAACTCTAATGACAGTCACCGGCAAATTGCCTGTAGCCGGGCGCTCGTCGTCCCTCTTTGCTAGCTCGAGGTAGTCGATTGCCGAATGCACTAGCTCGTCGTTCACCCGTCTGTGGGTGTCTCTGATTCGCTGCGCGATGTAGCTCAGCTCGCGCGAGGTGATGGCATGCACGTTGTCGCCGACACTTAGGTTTATTATCGCGTTGCCGAAGTAGCCGTCTGGGAGTGGTGGCCTCATGATGCGGCGGACGTTGGCCGAGAACATAAGTTGTGTCGCAGCATCCGGGGGTAGCTGCCGGGCTAAACACATGCATTGCCACAGGTGGGCGCTCACGGCGCTAAACGTGCTCACGCTATCACCACCAGATATGTGCTTTAGAGTGGAAAGTTGGTCCTTGCCAAGGGTGAAGGCCACAACCTCGTTGACGAGTGGCCCTGGCTGCGGCGGTAGGTTTATCTTGGGGCTAAAAATGGAAAGTGCGTCGGGATGAACAACAGGTGGATCACGCGCACACAAGCGCGAGCGGTCATGGCAGGGGAGGTTCACCATAGCCCGGTCGCCGTCCCTGGAGAAAGCTGACCATGTCCTTAAGAAGTGGAATACAGCAGATCCGTCCATAGCAGCATGATGGATTGCCGACCCTAAGACCACCCCACCCCACTTTAAGAATGTCACCTACATACATATATGGATTAATTTGTTTTACATACTACTAATTGCTTCTGAATAGTACCCTCCTACATATTACTTCTGTTAATTGTAGGTGTAGTTAGTAATTGATTTGGATAGAAAGGACTAGATAGGAATCAAACGGACCTGGGTTGCCCATAAGAGGTCATCTGAGTCGCTGACGTGAGGAACAAACAGCCTCCTCTGCTTCGTTGATGGCTTGAAATCGCTGAAGTCATCCATGGTGAGACGAGAGTGAGCCATGAGGAAGAGCGTGCCCTTGCCGTTGCAGTCGATCTCCAACGTGCCGTCTGCGCCCGCCCTCAAGCGGCCGGCCAGGGGGTAGAAGGGCACAAGCGCCTTGCTCAACGCCGTTTTCAACCTGGTCACGTCGAAGAAGTCGTCTCCGGCGGTTTCTGGTCGGCGGTAGAAGTGGACGAGTGGGGTGTAGCCTCTACTGGCTAGCATGAGGTCGAACGGAGAGAGCCGGAGCGCCCTGCTCGGCGTGTCCGCCGCCGGCGTCACGAAGCAGGACTCCACCACCTGCACCTCCTCCTCGCCGGCCATTCCTAAGAGTAGTTGTGTTGTTGTTTCTCCTTGTTGCTCTAGCTACTACCGGATGTTGTCTTGCTTTTCTTCTAGCGCTGCTGCTACTTCTAGCTACCCAGATGGAAATGGGCAGTGAGGATCGCATATCTTTTGGCATGTGATTGCATATCTTCTAGACATGATAATGGTAAAGAAAAGCGGTCTGGTTGATGTGGACATTCATGGCGATATCAACTCTCGTCGTTTTCTTTCCCTACAGTTGTATGATAGTGAGCAGAGCTTAGCATTTTTGTTGTACCATCACCATGCTGCTGTGTTACCCATTGAAGGAAACTAAACACATTGTTTGGAGGCAGGCGCACATCCCGCCATTGATTCTCTGTCGGGCCCTGTTAGAGGCAGAGCAGGGAGAGATAGACGCCGGAAGAAGAGGTGAGAAGACAGACAGACACACAGATGGACGGACCGGTCAGTGGGAAAACAGCGAGAAGTGATCGCTCCATCAATAATTGCTTGTGAATATCTCTCCTTTTTCTTTAAGACGAAGACGATCTCTTCTTCCATATTCTTTTGAGCTTTCGCCCCATTTCCAACACAGACACAGTAGCTAACGCTACGAGAGAGAGGGGGGGAGGAGAAGCAGTGAAAAAAATAGCGCGATACAGCAAAATAGTGCAGGCCTTGAAATACGCTATTAGCATGCTATATCGTGTTATAGCGTGCTATTAGCGTGCCATTGTACACGATTTATTTAGCGAGACAATTCTCAAAACGCTATAGCGCACTATTTTTCAAATCTTAGAGATGGCAGGGGAGAGCAGAGCAAGCAGAATGGCCGGCGGGGAGGAGGAGGTGCAGGTGGTAGAGTCCTGCTTTCTAACGCCGGCCGGGGACACGCCGAGTAAAGCACTCCGGCTGTCGCCGCTCAATCTTATGCTAGTCCACGAAGGCTACACCCGGCTCGTCCACTTCTACCATTGCCGTTCCGGTGACCAAACAGCCACCGGCGACTTCTTCGACGTGAGCCGGCTGAAGACAGCGTTGAGCAAGGCCCTTGTGCCCTTCTACCCCTTGGCCGGCCGCTTCAAGGAGGGCGGGGACGGCAGGTTGGAGATCGACTGCAACTGAAAGGGCATGCTCTTCCTCATGGCTCACTCTCGTCTCACAGACAGCCATCGCCAAAGAAAAGGAGGCTGTTTGTTCCCCGCATCGACGGCTCAGCCGGCCTCCTGTGCGCCACTCAGGTATATATGTGTGGTTCTTTCTTAAGGCTGTGTTCGGACTAGAGGAGAGCCAAGCAAAGGAATGGGAAAAGGTACAGGAAGTGAAGTTGGATGTACAGTGCAAATCACAGGTCTCCAAAGTAGAGGAATAAAAAAAATATGGTGTTCGGATCACAAGAAAAAACTTTCTAGCCTTTGCACATACTAGCTGTTGCACTCCGTTTGCTCTATATATACATACATAAACCACAAGCTTACGAACAACACACACCACACAGCCGTTCACGTCACACAGCCAAACCATTCACACAACCGTTCCTTACTGCTGAGTTCATTTGAACATCACATTTCCTCATTCAAGCAATACCACACCATCTATTTATATATAAAAAGTAATTGACGGGTTAACCACAAAAAAGAGAAATAGATTAAAATTCCCACAATAATTAGAAAGATCTAACCATCTATTTGGAGGATTAACGATTAATAGCCATTTGATTTAAGTGATTAAAATTACCCACCATTGCCATTACTTACATGGAAATTGGCCTTGGTTTAACAAAAAAAAAACTGCACCTATTTCACGTCTAAAATCTCAATCTCTATTGCTTTTTTTTTTGAAAGTCTCAATCTCTATTGCTGTCCTCCCCTCTTGCCCCGCATACAAGGAATTAGGTAAAAAAAAAAGATAACCATAACCGTCAGATCCACATTAAAGCGGAAGAAATTACCCACCACTGCCATCCTCTTTTCATTGCATTACAAAAATATATATCCTTGAATTCTCCCGTATAGGTAAAAAAAATTTGTTTCGTGGGCTTGGAAAACATAAACGTGGAGGCTGCCCTACGACCTTCTACTGCCGCCGCCGTTGCGATGTCAAGATCTCACGCAGCTCCCGCTCCATAGACTATCCATAGACTACAGAAGGTCTCCTGGCAAGGTAGCAGGGACTATAGAAGGAAGGAAGCATGATGCAGAGGAAGGGGGGAAGAGCAACATGACAGCGATGGGCTGCAGGATCCATGGCGGGATGGAACTTTGCAGATGATCTGACGAAGAGATTTGGGAATAGTTCTTCCTTCATTGCCTAAGTTAGAGGTATGGCTCATGATTGATCACGGGTAGTGAATAGGATCCACTGTGACCTTGCAGCCTCCCTGTTCCCAAGTTATTTGCATATTGGATACATTCATGTTTAGTTTTCCTCAATTGCCTAAGGACTGCCTATGCGTGTACGTGCAGTCTCATCAAGATAAAGTTGCAAGTATTCCATGAGGTAATTGTTCACATTATTTTGTCTCAGCAAGAATACATGAATTGGTTATTCTCAGTCTTTCAATCATTGTATGTAGTAAAAACTTCTCAATCATTATCCAATTTCTATTAGCTAGCACAGGGAACGATCATGTCATTTGGCTAAGGCTACAATTGTCCTTGCAGAAAGCTCAGGTTTTGAGCAAGTAGAGCACTCTCCAAGGCGGGTAAAAATCTTGCTTCCTTTCTCATGTATCTATCAAACCAGCATGAGTCGACTGTGTAAACAGTTCACTGGATGCAGGATCAGGTATATACCCACCTCTACTTAGTTTATTTTAGTGTCAAGTTATCAAAGATGCAGACTGCCGCCTGCAAAAAAAAAAGGCAGACCGCCGCCTAAAATATTTGGAAACATATGCAGCCGTAGAGGTTGAGGAGGACAATTGCAGCATGCACCCCACATAGCTGGAGTACGTGGACATCGATCCAGTATGGCTGCATGTGTAGACGCTCCAGTGGCATGGATACACATGTTTTCTCTCTCTTTTTACCGGTCAATTAATGATTTCATGGATTCAGAAAAAAAAATCTTTGAAAAACAGGCCAACATGAGATGTGTAGTGTACATGCACGTGTATGTAAGGGAATTTTAGTGATGCGAGGACACTAGCACCTGAACGCTGTACATAGTGCTTGATAGTTTGTGTCATACTCTCAGGTCGTATGTTGCACATGACCCAAGCAGCCTCACCGAGGGTAAAAACGCTCCCAGTCATACATTCCACCCAACACATCAAAATATACTGACCTACCTACTGTGTCGTCATGCAAATAATAAATAAAATTATGGTGCTTAAGTTGAATACTGAACTAGAGGCCTTGATATTCATGTTGACGGTGTACATTATTAGTTCACATGGAAGAAAGGGAGCATCTCTGATATAAATTTTCAAGCAAGCAGTCAGTATATATACATATGAATGCTACATCTCTCTCTCTCTCTCTCTCTCTCTCTCTCTCTCTCTCTCTCTCTCTCTCTTCTGTTTATCAGAAGGAACGAAAGTGTTGATATAATCGCACCATAACTAGGTACCTTTTTTCAGGAGAATATTTTATGATCAATTTTATCCTTGTAACTTTACTAATTTCATTTCTATTTTCCCTACTTTTCATGTGATGGACATGTTAATTGCATTTGCATGATCTGCATTGCAAGCTTTAAATAAACCTACACAAGTGTGTGGAGTTCATGTCACAATTCTATCAGATTTTTCATGCTGATACGTGAGATATTACAGGCTTCATCCATTCCTTCAAATAGAATAAACTGTGCAATTGTTTACATTGCCATTATCAACATTTTTGTCTAAAATTTTGCGGGATATACTTTTAATATGCCTGGCATTGGTAATTTATCTTGCGTCACACTTGAAAGATTTCAGCTCTTAGTTGCATGGCCGCACAGGGACATGAGATAAATGGGCCTCAACCATCAAAGATAATATTCTAATATTTGCTTCGCTTCACCTTTCCCACTGCAACCTATATAGAAAATTTTACTACTGTAGCTTTGAGAAAATTATTTTGTATGTTGAAAAGCACTTTTCTCCCTTACCGAGTGCATTATTTATTTGTAAATTTTGGTGTCATTTTTTTAACTATGCAGTCTACGAGACGAGTGTGTCGTCTTGGAATGTAATATGATCCCTCCCATTTGTATTGACTTCAGCCTTAATGAATACACACCATCTTGGATGTATTTACATCAAAAGATTTTTCTAAATAACTTATAATATAGGAATACATTGCGAACTGAATAGTGACATGAGAATAAGTTTGGGTTGACAATATCAGTGTTTCAGCAAGACATGGATCGAACTGGTACTCGGTCCAATAGGGATGTAGAATTGAAAGTAGTGGTGATAGAGAAACAGTAAGTCTTTTAGAGCTTCTTATAAATCAGGTGGAAGCGGAAAATTGCATGACAATAAGATCTCACAAGAAGTAGCAATTTTTCTCGGTGGATGATATATTTTGCTACTAAACTTTCAATGTTTTCATGTAAGGATATATACATGACACACTATTCACATGTGATATGTTCTATGTAAGTTAATTCGAAGCTCTATTCATGGAGACATGTATCTTCTATATGTTCTTTATGCTTCTCCTACATATTGTCTTTGATATTTAATGTGGCAGGCTTTGATTCATTGCTATTAGTTAGAAGGTGCGCGAGATTATTTTGCTATTCTTATATTGAAGTAATACATGTTCCGGTAATACTGGGGACCAACATATGTTTTTCGAAGGAGAAGCTCTGTTATTCCTTGCATCTCTAAATCACACTTGCAGTGGGATCCCTATGGTTTGAGAAGATGTTTTATCGACGCCAAAATAAAATTCAAAAGATTGGGATTTTCTGGAGAACTGCAAGCACTACACTTAAATCTTAGCGTTCGACTTTTACATATTGTGAAGGAGAATTCACTTTCTGGCAATTTTTAATCTTATATTGGTGTCGTGTGACCATGT